AACCACCTTGCTAAGATATTCTAATTAAACAGGTTTTCGTCATGTCTAATAGAACGATATGAGCAGCCAATTTTTCAGAATCTTTTTTGCTAAACCACGTCTAAACATGTTTATCTTGTTGGCTGGTGAACGGGTCGTGGACGACCGCTTGAGGGGACATTCGTGGGCTCAATCGTGTTCTGGCCAATCATACCTTACGCGTGAGAAAGGAAACTTGAAGTGTTCAATCCCGGGACTAACTGTCGAGCACGTGATTGATATATGTATTTTACAATCAAAGGTTGATTATCTCTTAATATTCTTCTGTTTTTGCAGGTGGTGTGGGTTTTCACTTGTTTTGGTGTGATACTGTTAGGAGTGGATGTTGGATTGGGCGTGGGAGTTATCTGCGCATTGTTTGCTGTCGTTTTGTCTCTCTCCAGGTAAACTCAACTCTTCTTCACTTATCGTACTTGCTCTTTGTCTAACTCATAACGCTCCAAGTGAAAATTAACAACAGGCAGTAATACTAGTGATTAGTAATGACAGTTTTAAACCTAGCAATGATATCAAGGAAATGCACTTCCAAATCAGCTATAGCTGGCGCAAGAGACTAGATCATAGTATCCTGGCAGGCGAGTGAAAAGGCGTCAGCGACAACGAAAGCACCTATCTCTTAATTTTGTTTTCTTTAACGACCAGTAGACTCTAAATCATACAGGAAAGACTTTGACTCATTGAGCGGACTTTGATTCGGTCGGCATAGGCTAGAACAAGGACGATATAGTTCTCTGGTTGATGGAGAAAGCAGCAATTAAATCGGCGAGATTTTTGAAAAGATCACGATGTTTTTTAATTTGTAAGACGCGTTTCAATGCAATGTGATTCACATGTTTGTCGGTTACAAAGGGTGTTTGAATAATCGTTTGAAGACTGGTGAACTATTATAAGTTCAAACGGTTTTTCAAACACTCTTTGAAGATGTAAGTCACTTCGAAAACATTTCTTTAACATGAATAAAAACACATACAGATGTTTTGAAAAATCGTGTTATAGTTATTACAGAACAAGATCTCGACATCTCATTCGGAACAAGCTGTAATTCCTTCAGAAAACTTCCAACAAAGCCAAAACATTAAGTCCAGTCCTATAGATCCATTCTCGCGTGGTTTTTATTTACTTGCATTCTCGACGATTGAAAGAAAAATTAGAAGATTGATGAACAAAGTGCACTGAGACTGGTGCACTAGCCCATTTTAGATTAAACTATGTGATGCTTGTTTTATTGTCAGATCGAAATTCTCCATACTTGGACAACTGAAAGAAACCGAGCTGTACCGTGATATTAAGCAATGTCCTTTGGTATGTTTTGTTCGTTATTTCCATTTTCTCTTTTTTTTTTCTCTACGTAGCTATCGATACTGAATTGAGAGGTTTGTTAGCTGAGTTAGCTCGTCGATGCTTCTTTTAGAAGCGTCCTTCGTAAACCACGCGTAGAGATTGGGGACAGAGAAGTATAAACCGCGCGGTGAACGACGGGGTACCTTCTGTCTTCCTTTTGAATTTTCCCCCCTCCACTTTGGAGTCCATACATAGCGAAAGAAGTTAGTTGTTGTTTGCCTTTAATAGTTAGGACAGAACGTTAACCGTCTAATGTACTCTCTTTGAAGGCCTTCGAGGTCCCTGGAGTGAAGGTGCTGAGATTGGAGTCCCCTCTTTACTTTGGGAACGCGGAGCGCTTCAGAAATGCGCTTATTGCTACTGCTGGCCTGGATCCCAGCACTCAACAGCAACCGCGAAAAGAGGTCAAACCCGACAGCAATGAATTCGACGAGCAAGTGGAGCTAATTGACAATGAAAATGAGCCTGACCATAGCTATAATGGAAATGCCCCTAACGGAGTAAGCAATATTAACAAATCTCAAGGCTTTTATCACAGCCCGACAACTGCGTTCTCACTTCCTTTTGGTTCGGCGATACCCTAACACCAAGAGATTATTAGATCATATTTTCTTGCTAAGACCGAATGGTTTGATTCTCGTCAACTGTCATTGTCGTCCCCATAGCCCTTTTCGATTCTCTTAGGCAGCGGGGTCTTCAACTGTTTACGTGACAATCCAGGGATGTTGTTAGGAGAAGTTGTTTCCTCCGCTTAACCTGCATCCTCAGGACACCCCAGTACCAGAGCGTCCAGTCACAAGACACCAGAGTTTTGACGTTTGACTGTCCGAAACTATTATTTTTGCTGAAGTTTCGACATTCATCCCTCGAGCATGCACGTAAATTGTAAAGAAGTCGAGGGATTGTATTTCAATATTGTTCTTGAAGCGTAACCTTGGGTTTCTTAACCGTGCGTGTTTCTAATCAGAAGCTGACGCCTGCCGAACCCATCGCAGATGCTTGTTCAGTTGATGAGCCACAGGATGGTGTTCACACTGTAGTTATTGACTGTAGCGGCTTTACGTTCATCGATTCCGTGGGATTACACGTGCTACCAGCGGTAAGTAGGTTTAAATTGCTGGCATATGAACCAATAGCCCGGCAATGTTATGATCACGCTACCGGGTGGAGACATGAGAGAAAACTAAGAGAAAAACAAGAGAAGAATAAGAGAATCTAAAGTGAAGAAGATTAAGGTTCTTCTCACAAGAGAAGAATCTTAAATGGTTGAAACGTTGCGTGTTGCGTGTAATCCAACTTTTACTAAGTTCTCCATTTAAGTTAGAGGCCCCACCAAAAGGCAGGGCGACGAAATGTTAGTCCGTAGACTCAGTCATTTGTTCTCCTCCACGGAAATCTTTAGTAAAAGGCGAAAGATTTATGCGTGTCGAGGGAAAACAAGAGTTGCTGAACGGAGAAATCGGAGCGACGTTATGACCGTATTGTTACAAATCATGTGGGACAATTAGTCCCATTACGTCAACAAATAAGCATGCGCATCAAAGAAACGCTATTTGTCAACATGGATTTCTAGTTAAATTTGCAATTTTTTCTTCTCGTACGATGAAAATTAAAGTCAAGAAACTCACAATAAATGATATAGACAACGTCAATCTTATTCCTGTGTAAGTGTATGTACCGTGTAAGTGTATGTATCGCCTAAAATAAAGCTGACAGAAGTAGATTTTTGTTTTCATATAGATCAGTATGACAACATCGCCATCACCTGTTCACAATGACTTACGTGGTTGTCGCGAATGAAGGAACTAAATTGCGTGCTATTTCTCCGATAATGTTTGTTGTTGACGCCTTATTCTTAATACCTTTAAACAGTGACGTTCAAGTAAAACGAACACGAGATGATTTGTTCCATTATTTTCTTATTTCAGCTCGTTTCTGAGTTTAAGAGAGCTGGAATCCATATATACTTGGCGGGCTGTTCATGTAAGTGAACTGAAGAAAGCTATTTATATTAGCCTCCCCATTGTAGCGTTTGTTTTGTTCACCGCAGTTATCAGTTTGGTCGCTCATGTTTTAACTGACCGGCCGCGGCTATTTAAGCTTTCAGACACAGAACCCTTCTAAGATCTTCTAATTATAAATATACGCCGAAACATTTTTAGTGACTAATTGCATGTATGAATTTTACGCTTATTTCCTCTGTTAAAGTGCCGCTTTTATGTCATGTGCAGTAAATTCTTCTGGTTTTGAAAGCGTCGGCCAAATTCATCTCTTTCCATTGCAAATCTGAGAAAAAAAGACCGTTGATTTGATTTTTATGTAACTTCTCTATGTAAATTACGCAATTTCTTTGTGATAAGCGTTAAATCATCATTTTGCAGCAAATAACTAAATTGGTTATTTTTTGCCCTTCCTTCCTTTACAGGGAACCTAATCAAGAGGCTTGAAAATTCTTCTGGGAAAGCCGCCATAGATGCAATTCCACGTCACGTGATGTTTCCATCAATACACGACGCTGTAATATCTGCCGTACGAGCGCGTGACCATGCGGTATGTTTCATTATAAAAAAAAAAAACAGCAACTACAAAAAGCAAGGAGTGATATTTGTTTTGAAGGGGGAAAGGAGGAAATAGAAGATATGATAGAAGATCACTTTTAAGGCGGAAGGGGCGTTAATAATTGGAACTCCTATGTCATGTATGCAGATAAGATTTGTTTCTGTGGGAGATCTTCGCCACACCAGCAAACTCTTGTGACAAAGCATTTATCCTAGATCTCGCGAAACTTTTAATTCGACAACAAGAATTGGAAGATCTTTGCTGAAAGAGCTTGCTATTTCTCCGACTTTTCTACAGGGGAATACGAAAGTAATATTCGCACATGAGGTTCCCGCCAAAATTAGTACCCAGCTCGCACACCGTCACGAGACAACTATAAGAACCCACCTTAAAATTTCATTCCGTGAAGCCATTTTTCCTTAGAGATCATGTTCCAACTCCCTGTTTTGTCATTTATGATAAAGACATTTTTAAACGTTCCGTGAGACCAGAACGTAACCGAACACCAAGGTGCTTCATCCCGTTAATCTGTGGCAAATAGTGGGGAATTAATCAAAACAACCAGAAAAAATGTGGTTTTATTTTCTCATTTAGATTTGGTCGGAAGATCTGGAGAAAGAGACGTGTTTGTGATTTTTCTCTTGATTGACCCATCTGACGCACGTTTTTCCTCTCCCATGGTGGATTTGCTCGGATCATTCCTCTTCATCTGCAAAACTCAAGCTGCACTGCAATTGACACTCAAAGGCTGCGAACCTGCTCTGATAAATGTCATAAAGCATCAATGATATCCATAAAGATGGAAAAAAGCTCCTTTGAGAAAGTATTTTCCTCAATCGTGTGAACAGACCCCTCTTATATCAAGCATTGAGTGCAACCCCCCCCCCTCCCCTCCCCAACCCCTCCGGCCACTGACTAAGGAGACTTTTAGTAAACAATCATGTTTTACCATGGCGCCAAAAGGCAAAGGTTTTCCTTCCTTGTTTTCTTCCTCAAAAAACTCAGAAAGCACGAATAGAAAAATGTTGCCATCAAAACTGCAGGAAACTGAGTTAGAGAACAGTAGCCAACTTTTGTATTCTCATCGCTTGAGTCGAATTTGTATAAATGGAAAGTTTTCGTTGGTGTACATTTTTATCTTGTTAATACACTCACAAACAATATTTTATTTATTTTTTCAATAAAGTGGGAAAACAAATTTGTAAAGAAATGTTTCCTAGCTAGTTGTTATATAGAAATTGCACTGTGCAATAAAAAAAACCAAAACAAAATCCACTTTTTAGAATGTGTCGAAGTTTATTATTGTTGATATCATGTCCAAATAGGTGGTATGGTAAATATCTTAACCCCAGTTATTCATAATCTGGCTATTGTTGGTATTAATGCTTTGACTTTGAATGTCAAAAGTGCCAGGAAAAGGATATACAATCCCCGCCTGAATACAGACAGTCCTCTGGGGGGTACAGCCAACAACCGAAGTGAATCTCGCACCCTATGGAATTGACACCTTTCAACGACTTTGATACCCACATTACAGAACAAAGAAACAAACAAACACAAATGGTATCAGCGTTCAAGGTTCCAAAGGGTGAGACCAAAGTATGGGCCATTGCCACTGCAACCGTACCTCGGGACGTGAAAGTAAACAAGCACCAAGTGGAGTGCGCGAAGCTCTTCACCCAGCTTGGGATCACGTGATGTGGTGCATCTTCTTCTACGAAATTGTTTTCTGTGTCTTGTGGTTTTGGTATTATTCTCTGATATTTTTTTTCTGAGAAAAAAAAAACGTTTTTTTGTTGATTTGCTCCTGTCTATGGCCAAGCATTTATAATACTTAATTTGCTGCCTGGCTTCACTAGCCATTGTAAAATGGTGAGTGACGCTTCTTGTAATAATGAGTACAAATAAAGGTTGTTCTTGTTGCATTTTCAACTTAACTAGAATCATTACTAATTCATACCTGTGCATTTCTAAAATGATCCACAGTAGGGTTAATGCTATGACAAATCTACTTCTGCATTTGACGAAGGGAAGACCTCTCAACTCGCAAGCGGAACGTTTGTTTCCGTGGGAAGGAAGGCTGGTAAATGACATGATCAACTTGTACGTTCCCGTCTTCTAACCCTCGAGGAACAAATACAATTATGGTTCAGCAACCAAAGAAACTCACTTGATGTCTTATTTTGACGTATAGCAAAAAGAAAAAACAGCAACAACTTGACGTATGAATTTATGGTTTGACGTGATATTTTTGTGGCAAACCACAGTCGATAGCATGACAACAGGTGTTCCTTTTTTTTCACTTAGAAAAGGAAGACAATTTTACGTGTAAATTTAACGTCTATCCCGTAAAGGAGATCACGAAATAACGTTTGATCGACCCTGACTATAAGAATTCCTTTAATTTTCATTCATAGGCACAACTCTTTAATTTTAGCTCGAAAAAGCCAAGATTTGGCAATCACGTCTTTTGAAGTTCTGCAAGAACCGACAATAAATGTTTATTTTAAATCTACTAGTGCTGATATCATGTCCTGAAACTGAGGTGGTTTGGTAGATATCCCAACCCTAGTTATTAATAATCTGGTTATTGTTGGTATTAATGCTTTGACTTTGAATGTCAAAAGGATATACAATCCCCGCTTGAATACAGACAGTCCTCTGGGGGGTACAGCCAACAACCGAAGTGAATCTCGCACCCAATGAAATTGACACCTTTCAACGACTTTGATACCCACATTACAGAACAAAGAAACAAACACAACTGGTATCGGCGTTCAAGGTTCCAAAGGGTGAGACCAAAGTATGGGCCATTGCCACTGCAACCGTACCTCGGGACGTGAAAGTAAACAAGCACCAGGTGGAGCGCGCGAAGCTCTTCACCCAGCTTGGGATCACGTGATTCTCCACGTATCTTTCCACATTTCAATTTAGAAGCTTGTTTTTGAATTGATCTCGAAGTGAGTTCTTGCTATATTGATTTGCCTTAGTTTAGTCAATGTACTATCATTACTAATTCTTACCTGAGTATTCTTCAGATAAATTTGTGGACTGATCCACAGCAGGGTTCAAGTGGGTACGTAGGGAAGATGTTCTTTCGCGCGCGATTTGAACTTCTCTGACCAGAACATTCTGCAGGGGAAGGAACGCCAGTATCATTATGGATCGTCTTTTTCTGCTTTTCGAACCTGAAAGACGAATCAATTAATTATGATGAAATAACCAATTAGTTAACTTAATCAATTAATGTAATGGTTTGTACCCTGTCTGCTTTTGAACTCTTGTGGTAGCAATATTATATACTGTAAAAGGTAATAAAACGCTATTTTAATTGTTTTTGTGGCTCGTAGCAATGATTCCTTCATAAAATGTACAACTCATCCGCGAGATTCAATTCACAGTGGGCTGGGAACAAGTGAAATCAACTCGATCTTACGCTACTGGGAATTCTTTTATCAGGTCACCGTATGTTTTGGTATTGATCTTGTTGAATCGAAGCTTTACCAGTCTGAGAAATACTGCCCATTATTGTTGAGTGCTCGTCTTCAAAGCACAACTTGAAGAGTTAAAACATACGAATGAACCATCGCAAAGCACTAAGCGTAAATAAAGTTGAATTAGATGATTGCATAGAATGAGAATCCTTTTAGTTACCTCTGTACGTGCATTTCATTTTCCATCAGATCGTGTTTTTTCTTTTGGCCTGTAATCGGTAATATACCATGGAACTGAATCCTGGCTAAGGTCTCATCAAGAAACTGACACAGACGAACATACATCATGGTGATTTGCCACGGCTCATCGGTTGCCGCTGAAGCTAAGATTTCTGTACGAGACACTGACACTGACCCAAAATGCTGGCCATTCCTAGAAACACAGATCCTGTCAGTGTTGATCCGATGTGAAAATCTGGCCATTCAAAAACATTCTGCCATGATTCGGGACAAGCAAGTAAAATTCTGGTCTCCGTATGCCTGGTGAACTTGTTCAACGAGGCGGATCTGATCTTTCTTAGCCAAGTGACTAAACAGAACTCTGTATAATTTCTTAAAAGCGGATTTCCCCGGAATTTGAAGCAAGGCTAGCGCTAGCAAACGTAAGGCAACGTTGATCTTTTCAAAATTGTTCGGTTGCAGTAAAGTGATTGTTGGGGTGGTTAAGAAATTTGAAAACTTAACTGTTCTAATCCGCGCATGGTGAATAAAATCGTCTCATTATTTCATACATTACAGTGTGCGAGTTTTAATTTCAGGCACGGAATCAGAAGGTGTTAATCCTCGAGATTCAGCCGCCCCCTCATTGGCCAAACCAAGCCTGTCCTCGGAACCGCGACATTTCTCGTGGGACGAGCTCGAGATGACGCGTGATCGGTCTCAGTCCCAGTTGCCGCTCCATGCCTTGCGAGGAGGCGGCTGAAATACAGGCTAATTATGTAAACTACTATACGGACAAAAATTTTTAAGAGAAGAAGAACTTCACAGTGACGTAGGTGTTATTTGCCCTCAAGCAATCAGAACTATTACATAGATTTAGCCTAGCATAAAGGCGGTGCTCCCATAAAATACTATCATTTACTCGACACAATAACTTTTAGAGCAATTCATCTAAACTGAATGAATTGAACAGCAACAAAAACAAACATAAAAACCCCGGAGGAATCTATATAAAAACAATATGCATATCACTGCATCTGAGTTTCAAGTGGCTAATCCCGTCTCAATTAACAAAGGACGAAGAAAATTCGTTTAAGATTGATTATCATACAAGGTAGAGCCAAGAAATGCATTTAGATACCGGAAAACATCCAAAATTTTAAAGACTCGCGGTGTTCAAATTTAATATTTATCATGCTAAAGCGTGATTTAAATATTATTTTTGCCGACGGCTTTGTAGTAATTTTATCGGCCGTAGTTTTACCAGTCTTTTACAATAAGCTTTAACCGAAGTGGACCGTAGTTGTGCGTTTCACCAAACCGAATAAATTGAACAAACAAACGAGTAAATCTCCAAACTTCGTAAGCGCGATATGCCCAATCACCACGTCAAATATAAACTTAGGGACAGACAGTTATTTTTTGAGGGGGTGGCGGGGTTAGACAATTCCCCCCCCCCCCCAAAAAAGAAAAAAACTGCAAAGAAATCGTTTGCTTGCTACTATGCTGGTCCTGCGTTTGACTAATTTTTTTTTTTTTTAATAATAATAACTTGGTCCGTCCCTTAGCAAATCTTGTTCGCTTTTAAAGTATAAAATGGTTTCTTGACCTTTCTTGGTTTCCAACCTTAACAGAAGAAACTTTGGTAGTCTACGAAGTGGCTGTCACTCAGTAACATATAGAAAATTTGAAAACTCCGCGGGCAGTATTAGAAATAAAGTCTCACAGTAGTTTTAAAGGTGAGGTTATCGGCAAAAGTTAAGCTTATTATTTAGAGATAAGCGAAACTAAAACAATGAAATTTCTAAAATGGCCGTTTTTATACTAAAGAACCATTATCCGTATGGACGAACTTGGGTAAACATTTGTGGTTCGTCTGGTTATGTGTCTCTAGTATAAAGACGGGCACAAGAGGTATTATGCGTCTAGACGAACTGTCCTTCGAAATGCGTCTTGAACGACGCACTACGAGAGATAGTTCGTCTAGACGCACTACAAATGTTTGCCCAAGTTCGTCCAGACGGATGATGCGTCCTTAGCTGATAAAAACGGCGAGGACGCATTATCCTTCTGGACGGATAATGCGTCCTCTAGTATGAAAACAGCCAGTGTCTCACAGCATGGTTTCAAATCAGGATGACTTTACTGACTCTTATTGAAGATACGCTATCACTATCAGTCGCCGATGCAACTAATTTTTATTAGAAAATGAGAATGAGCCTCCCACAACAAAGAGTTGCTTACCATAATTTGGCAATTCAGTTCAGTGTGAATCTTCCAGGCAGAAACTTCCAGCAAAAGAAGTGAAGACTGAACTGAGCTATCTTTTCGCGACCATTCTCTATTCCTAGCTCTCTCCACCTCTCGCCGTTCCGCGCATATATTTTGTCTCCATTCTCTATTTCTAGCTCGCTCTGCTTCGAATCATTACTCTCTTATATTTTGCCTCCATTCTCTATTCCTAGCAAGTTCCGCTTCGCGTCGTTCCTCGCTTATATTTCGCCTCCTCTCTTCAGCCCTCGCTCGGCTCTGCTTCAAGATGTTGTTCGGGATATTAATTCATCTCCTTTCTCTGGCCCTGACTCGCTCTACTTTGATCAGTATACTATTTCGCCTCCTTTCGTGATCTTCTTGCGTACATCTTTGAATGTTAGTTCTTGCTCTCTGCCGTTCTCTTTCACGTTCTACATCAGCTAAAGAATAAATTAAACCCCACTGCATGTATTTCCCCCCAGAAAAAACGCGGGCTGCCCAAAACCGACGTATGCGCGATTTCCCACCAAGAAAAAATGGCATTTAAGCTTCCCGTTCGGGTTACCTTGAGACTCCCCTCCCCTCCCCTTCCCCCAGAATCTCAACGGGGATTAGAAAATAAAGATAAATTTATGATTCATTTTTCTGTTCTAGTTTCAGTTTTCATGAGTGTTTGACAAAACCGACAAATCGCTCAAGGGGTCACGTGCTATTGCCCGCGACTCGAGGGAAACTACCTGTCCCGCGCGTAAGATGAAGATACAATGTTATGTTTAAGGGCCGGGTCTAAGGGATGCTGTGTTGAAGACAGGTGCCCTTTTAAGATGGTGTAACTGGTCAAAATAAACTATTTAAACTCGGAACTTACTTTGCATGTGAATTTTAACTTTTCGGGAGAAAGGGTCATTTGGCTACACGCTACACGCGCAGACACGCGCACGTCTTGGGTAATCGTTCTATGGATCAGCGGTTTTACTTTTAATGGTACAGTCGCGCAAATCGTCGAGTAACGAGCAACAATTCGAGCAACATGGGTTTTTATATGTTCGGTCAAGTTATCGCAAAATTTACTGCTGAGAGTCACGAGACAAAATCGAAGAAAAGAATGTAAACAAAGAAGAGATATGGAGGAATCATGTCAGGACTGAAGTATTGTTGTTGTCGTTGTTGTCGAGCATTGTGGTACAAAAGTTTAGTTTATAGTTTAAAGTTTGCGGCCGTTCGCGCGCTTCGCTTATAAAACGCTTCGATAAAGAAAGAAAGAAAGTAATCAAGTCCATTGACGGATTTCAGGAGGTATCACCATGAGCGATTTAGAACTATCAGAAATCCAGGCTGCAAGAAACCGCCGACGCAGAAGACGGTACCGGATAAACCTGTCTCGCCATGTCTACAACGAGCAAGAGTTCACGGAGTCGTTTATCAAGCGAGATGAATACGTGTCCAGTTCTGAGTTTGAACCTTCGTCGCTCGCTAAGACATTCAAGCGGCATTTCTTCCCAACTAGATGCACATGTAAAGATGTATTGCAATCTTGGTTCCCCATTGTGGAATGGCTACCTGCTTACGATGTCCGGCGTGACTTGGCACACGATGTTGCCGGAGGGTTAACAGTGGCCATCATGCATATTCCTCAAGGTAAGAAAGAGATCGACAGTCATTATTTTAATATTAACTCAAATTTATTAAGGGTTAACTGGCAAAAAAATAATAATAAATAAATAAAACAAAAAAACAAAAAAACAAAGGGTTAACTGGCCTGTGTAATATTTTGGTGACAATGTCTCAAAATGTACAGTGCAATGAGATGACGAAAGTTCTGTCCGTTTTTACCCCCAGGGGAGACTCCCATATAAAATGGACGGGGGGTGCCCGTCTCTTTCAGGGGTTAAAAAACGGTTGTGGTACCTCTTAGGCCCAAAAGATGCACAGTGGGAGCTCTTAGGGTATTGAGCCAAAAACATTATGACAAGAGATTGTGTTGTTTTAGAATTGGCACCTCTTAGTGGTGAAAAAATTTTTATCAAACACAAAGTACAAAAAGNGGGGGGGGGGGGGGGGGGGGGGGGGGGGGGTTTACTCAATACTACAGTAATTTATATTTAAGCTCACTCATTTTTGAGAAAATCCATACTGGAATTGTGGACACTTTCCAGATGTTCTCCTCATTTTCAGTTTGGAATGGCATTTTGGAAATTTCTTTACCATTTGCTCATTTCTCCAGTTTCCAGTCTCTTATCAATGCTAAAAACTGGATTATAAATAGCAAAAGCCAGCTTTTTTGATCATGCTGATTTTGGGAAAACCCTAACTATCATTTAGTGGTTGTAATCCAATACAGCTCCTTCTGACAACTGGTAAGCTCTTAAGGTCAAGACACACCAGGCAACAAGTCACTGTGTCCCAACTGGGGGATAAGCTTCCGCGACCATCAGCTTGGTGTGACATGGATAATTTTTGTGAAAATATTTTGTCTGTGAGATAGAATTTTTTCCCCACAACAAGTTGCACAAATTCAAACTGATTTAAATTTGTGAGTATGATTGCAGCAAGAAAGTGAATAGCATGGACTTGTTTTGGAAGCAAATTATAGACACAGAGTGGTTTGTTGCAGATACCTGTAACAGCAGCTTGTCACCTAGGGTGTCCCAACTTTGAACGGTTACCCTAACAGTTTGTTGGTACCCGTGATGTAGGCGGAGAATCTGAGCACTGAGATACGTTGTGCAAAATCCTGGCACAACAAGCCCAAATAGCACTGCAACTATGATTGTTCAATGTGTGGTTCCAAAAGATTCCTATATCCACCCCAAGGAGGGTTATTTGAGAAATTTAAAGAGGGACGGGTGGATCTCAAAAACCAAAATTTTATAAACGACAACTAGAAATTCCAGAGTGATGAGGTATGGGAGGGTTGAAACCAAAAAACTCCTCTGTGGAAGCTAGGGGTATGGATATTTTTTGTAACAATCTGCTAGACGCCTTGGTGCCAACCAACTTAATATACTAATATTGTCCTATCAGAAGGTTTGTACTGCCCTGATTTCCTATGATAGTCAAGTTATTGATCTGATATCATCAGAGTTTTGGCCAAAATTAGGTACAGCAAATACCTAGTATGAACCATTGTTTTATTAAACCCAGCTGATGTTTTTTTTTTTACAGGTCTGGCATATGCAATGCTGGCATCATTGCCTGCTGTTACAGGACTGTATACTGCTTTTGTGCCAATCCTTGTTTACATGGCAATGGGAACATCCAGGCACTTATCACTAGGTAAATTATTAAACAAGATTACCCTATAACATTGCTAAAAAAAAATTCTCACAGGTCTGGTTGTTTGGATAGGCAGGGTTGTTGCAAAAGGTAGAAGTAGCTGGAGTACATGGCCGTTTTGCCATCTTTTTCTAAAGAATCAAATGAGTAGTGCAGTGGAGTAGCCAGCTAATATCCTAAACTGCATGTGTAGATAGTGAATTTTTCTGCCAGCTGGCTTACTTTTGACAACCCTGGATTAACAACATAATTATAATTATATCCAAAGAAAGATAAATTCTTGTCGGGCAAGTTAGTGTTCATGCCCTCTTGCTCAAGGTGCAAGGCGTAGGCAAGTTGTCTGTCCACTAAATTATGATTTTTAGGCAACAGTAAACTAAGGCAAAGAAACTTAGTAAATATTCATTATTGTGCAAAAAGTACATACACATCCATACGTTCTGAGGTTGCTGCCTCTTCATCAGTGGATAAAAAGCAACTGATGAAGAGGCAGCAGCCTCGAAATGTATAGATGTGTACGTACTTTTCACACAATAATGCCGTTACTTTTTATCCTCTGATGAAGATGCAGCAGCCTCGAAACAAATGGATGTGTACATACTTTTCGCACAATAATGAATATTTACTAAGTTTCTTTATCTAACAAACTTTGTGCAACACAGTTTTCTTCTTGAGTAAACTGAGGCAACTGCCAAGGACAAGCTACTGTAAATCTGTTCATTGTGTCCATGCAAAGGCAAGCTGGAATTCAAGTGGTTTTTTTAAGCCCTGCTATTTAATAAAACCCAGCTGTTTTGTCAGTCTATCAACATCTTTATCAGTCTAGATTTTGTAGACTGCATGCTCTTGCTTTTATGGTCTCCATACAATTGCTCGTGAAATTTCCCTCATACTTGAACTCATTGTTAGAGACAATGGTATTTGTGAAATGTGAGTGTATAGCAAATGCATGTTATTGAGTCTAACAGATTTAGCACTTTCTGTTATGTTGCATGACCTTATAATTAATTAAGGCTTGACACGTACGTACTTCTAGTATCTATACTTAAACATTTTCATAATTTACTAATATTAACTATTTAACAGACTGCACTTCTATTTATTGGTTTTGGACTATATTATCTTATTAGATAAATATATTGTCTCTTAATAATTTATCTATTTATTAAGCAATTATTATTAATTGATTAAAAAAGTTGATGTATGTAAAATTGATGGATTTGCTTGGAAATTTGTCATGCAAGGTTGTCTGAAATGTGTTTTGAAAATTATCTTTTATTTATAGTTTTATTCATTAGCTAGTTCTAACAGAAAACTCTTTTCACAGGAACCTTTGCAGTAGTTTGCCTCATGGTTGGCCATGTTGTAGAGAGAGAAGTAGAAAGAACTATCTCCCCAACTTCTTCTGCACTGAGTCCCACTGATCAACCACCTGGAAGTTCGGCGGGTGAGACCCTGCGGATGTCAATATATAAACAGGAGTCAAATGGCAGTTTTCCAAGCAAGCAGGAGTTGTTGGATGAAAAGAAATTGGAAGTGGCCGTGGCACTTTCAATGCTTGTTGGTCTTTTTCAGGTTGGGTCACTTATACGTGCACAATCTCTTTCCATAGATAACAGCCTTGTGCTCTGTTTTAAGATATTTGGCAGGGCTGTCAGCTTTTATTTAAGTGCTATAGAAATGTAATAATTATCCAATTAGAAATGTAACTATTTTATACCAGCTCCAGCTTGTCCAGGAGTATGGTATCACCCTGCATGTAATTGGACATACAATTATTCATTTACTTACTAAAGAAAAGAAGGAAGACCTCTCCATATCCGCGATGACCATGAGCCACAGATGTATTTTCCTTGTCTCAACTATTTTTAACTTTAATGAATATAGAGCAGTTTTCAATTGAGTGTTGTTATAAAACCAAAACCAAAATTATCACTTTAGCCAATCAAAAATGACACAATTACGATACAGTGAACCAATCAAAACTTGAAGTACATGTATGTAACTGCTTGTGGCTGACCCAAAGCATGGGAAAACGTGCATGAGGGACTCATTTGTTTTTGTTTTACTTCTGATTGGATGCAAAAGTGGTGCAAGTTTTTTGAGCCAATCATGTGGCATAGTGATGCAAAACCAATTAATGTTTGGCACTCAAATGAAAACCACTGTTACTAACAGGGCAAAGAGAGCAATTAATTAGAATTATCATAATTGTAATGAATTTTTATTAACCCTGGTTTACCCATTTAATTTGAAACTGTATTATCAACATTTTCATGTAGTTTCTCACAATATAAGAATTAATTGTACATTGTTTTGATTGTACACTGTTTTGCTTGTGAAGGATTCATCATTATTACAAATTGTTTTCTTGCAGTTTCTGATGGGCCTTCTGAAGCTTGGTTTTGTGGCTGTGTACTTATCAGATCCAATCATCAGCGGTTTTACAACTGGTGCTGCAATTTTAGTCTTCACCAGCCAAGTCAAACACATCCTTGGTTTGAATGTTCCGCGATATGCAGGAGCTTTTGCTGTAGTCAAGGTTTGTCATTGACTTTCTTCATGGATTCAATCTTTGTTTAATTTGCAGTACAGTTCTGACTACTGGTAATAAATTGGTAGCAATATTACTGTGAATCACATGATGTTTTTTGGAAGAATAATCTTTGAACACTTAGAAATGTTCATTTTGTATTTTTTTGTAAATGTGATGTCTTTTAAAATGTTTCTTTTTTTGCAGACTTACTTATATATTTTTAAGAATATAACTGTATCTGTCCCTGGAGCAATCATCACTGGAGCTGTCTGTATCCTTCTTCTGATTGCACTCAAATTTGTTAGTGAGAAGCTGAAGCACAGAATGAAATTTCCTTTACCCGCAGAGTTAATAGTTGTAAGTGAAGATCTTTTAATTCATGAAAGTTGTTATTTTCTTTCTGGTTTTAAAAATAATTACAACCCTTGTGCTATCAAGACCATTTATAGTATGTAATGTTAATTCTGGCAAAATGTTTGTGTGTTAATTTCAGGTTGTTCTAGGAACAGTGGTGTCATATTTTGTTGGCTTAAATGAAAAATTCCAAGTGGCAGTTCTAGGTGACATTCCTAAAGGGTAAGAATAAAGACTTAGTTGGGTTCATCTACACTTAGTGAATTCTTATTTATTTTGCAAAAATATTTTACATCAGCTCCATTTTACGAGTGTGGGCTGTGATTTTTAAGTCCTAGCAAATTTTATCAACTGAAGCCTTTCTGAACTTCAAAAATACGGTCAGATCAGGACATATTTTCGACAAATGTCAAAACTGACAGATAATTATGTTTACAGATCAATTTTAAGGAAAATGTCAATAAGTTGCTTTTATACACACAGAAGGTGGTCATGTTCTTATGTGATTGCCATTTGCCATGCTTGTAAATAGCCAACTGGTCTGCCTCCCACCAGTTGGGATTTTTAAGCATATTATGTTTATTTGAAATATTTTTTTCTTTCACTTTAAGCATGTCTGAAAACTAGCTAGTTGTAGCTAAGTGCATCGACCAATGTAAACATTCACCATTAAACATTTTTTTAACATTTAACATTTTGTTGTTAGGAAGTAATTTTTTAAAATTGTTAAATGCTGACACCTTTACAAGGTGGAGAAGAGATTTGTCATGTTTTTTGTTTTGGTAGAGCTGAGCAAATTTTGTCCACCTAGTGCAATTGAGGCCTAAGCATAACTTACAGCATGCTGTAACCATAAAGAAGTTTTAATATCTTCTAGAAACCTAATAAACAATGATAAAGAGTATAACCAGTGAATTTCGGGTATGAAGGAACACATTTTTATATCACAGTGCATTATTTTATCTTTCTCGGTATTGTCTCAAAAACAAGTTTGAGCAACTTTCAGTTGCTGAGTTTATGTTTTGACTGTTGAATTAAACTAGATACGTTACTTTTTTTCGTCACTTTTTCCAATGTAGGTTGCGTGTACCATCTGCTCCATCTTTTTTGCTGATGGGAAGCATGGTTCCAGATGCGCTGGTGATTGCTGTTGTCATATTTGCAACTAATGTCTCTTTGGCCAAAACATTTGCAACAAGGAACAATTATGTCATTGATTCAAATCAGGTGTGAATAGAGGAAGTTTCATCAGTATATGTATGTGTATGACTTGCTAAATTTTAGGGCATCTGACAGGATGCAGTGGAGTAGATCCGCATAATTTGCTAACATCCACATCCTCCGTATAATCAGAGCTTTTTTCCACGGAAAACAGAAAAAGTGTTTCATGTTAGCGATGAAGCAGCTTCTTACCATCCCCACAAGTAAAAATTCTGAAAAGACTGCTTATTTCAAAGTAGTTTTTCTCCTAAAACAACGACAAAAACATGCCATTTCATTCGTGACAAAGTTTTAACCTCCAGGTGATCCAACCTACTTTAGGCGAAGAGCCTGGAAACTAGTTTTTCATTGTCCAATGTAATACCTGCTTACTAAGTTACAGATGTTCCAAGAACACATCATCAAATGCTTCACGTAAAATTCTACAGAATACCTGCATTAAATGAAAAAATACTGTACCTGCCAACAAATACTAGAAACAGATCATGGATATGTCAAAGTTGGCAGACATGATGTGTAATAAGTTTATTCTATTAAAGTTCAAAAACTGTGGGTAAGACTTTGAAGTGCTTTTCATTTCACTTTTGTTTGGTTCATTATAAATGCTTTATTAGTAAGCAATTTTGTTAACTGTTGAAATTTGCGTATAATCCTGAGTGTGTTTTCCACATAATTGACGCATTTTTCCACATCTGCACCCACCCAAAATTTATGGCATCAGGTCCCCTACTCTTTTTTTTTTTTTATTAATATTATTATTTTTTCTTAATGTCCCTAGGAGCTTATTGCCTGTGGATCAGCAAACATCTTTGGGTCATTCTTTTCTTGTTTTCCTGTGAGTGGCTCACTCTCTAGATCTGTAATTCAGGAAAGTATTGCAAGAACACAGGTAAGCAGCTCCACATTTTTAAGCTTCTAAGCAGTTAGTGGCCAACAGCCAATTTCTTCTTACAGAGTATAAGTAATGTTAAGTAAACAGGTGATGAGAATCAGAAGAAAGAATCATCGACATGTCTTTGCACAGAGTTCAGATTGTCAAACTGGCATGGTTATACTCAGTCTGTCTAAAACTATGGTACAGAGTATAATAACATTAAGTGCATGATGGTCTGACTAATTATGGTTGTGCTTTATTTTTTAAATGTACAACACTATGGAGCAGAAGCTTTTAAAAAAAAACATAGCCATACTTTTACAAAGTTTCATGTTCACCTCATATACAAAATGTAGATCTTCAGAATAATGCTAACAGGTTTTAAAGTTATTTGCGGCCCAACTCTCTTGCTGCCTAAATTTGAGGTTCCACATATTGGGAACCAACTCCCCATATCTTGCATGACCATGTGGAAGGGAACCAATGTAGCCAAACTAATAACTATTGGTTGCAGACTTGAACTGCATGAAAGAGCCTTACTGTGAAGGTGACTCAGTGAAAATGGTTGAAACATTAAACTACAGTCTTGGTAACTCATAAACCTAAGTTCTCAAAAGTTCTGAAGGAGAATAACAGTATTTTGAGCTTGATGAGGGGAATTTATTTTTAAACTTGTGTTTCTTTACTAGGATAAATATTTGTTATCATATTTAGCATTTTCATAATGCATTTTTTCTATATTCTCTTGTTTGGCAGCTCTGTAGCATACCTGTTGTTTTAATTATTATCCTGGTGCTGTTGTTTATTGCTCCACTTTTCTTCCATCTGCCCAAGGTTGGTGTACTCTCATGGTGTGCTCTTAAGGTAGAGAGAGGTTGAGCTCGGCAGGCAAAATGGTCATTCAAAAACCATGGGTCTTGCAAAATCTATGTTGCATTTCGTGACTTCTGTAGTCTCTTTTTTTTTTTTTAATCAGTTATGTGTATCTCGTGGTGTCAATGCTTTTGGGAAGCTGTCTTAGAATGTTGATTCTTTGCAAGAGAAAGGCTCAAAGTCCTACTAGTTTGTTTGTTTTTATTAACAACGTCTGAATGCCTTAGAGTCTAAACATCTTGCACATGCATTTAAAACACTTTGAATTCTTGGTCTTGCAATTTAAAAAGTAAAAATGTCTCTGGCTCCCAAAGAAAACTGCTAGTCTTGTCTTCTTGCAAAGTCTCACCTTTACCATCCACCACCTCTCTCTAACAGATGCTTGCTTGATTTCAATGTGTGACTATTCTTACTAGCTATAATACAGATAAGTATTGTAAGTTTCTTTTGCTACTTTTGTCAGGCAATACTAGCTGCCGTGGTTGTAGTTGCCCTTAAAGGTTTGCTCCTTCAGTTTAGCAGACTGGTACAACTCTGGAGGATTTGTAAACCTGATGCTGTGAGTGAAGTTCCCTACTTAGCTTGTAACTCAGTTTTCATTATAGCTTTTTACACAGTTGTTTGCATCTAGATGTTAGGCACTACAAGTTACATTAAAATGTTGTATTTTGGCATTACTTGTGGTAACTGGTCAGCAAACATTCAATGATTTGAGAGCAGAATTTTCTGCTGCTATTGTAGTAACAATTTCTTGCCTTTGCTGTTGAAATATGGAAAATTCAAGCTTACTAGTCACTGATCACATCACCAGTTTGATGATATATCTACACTATATGGGGTTTCATTAACTTTTTCAGCAGGAATTCAGCTGGTTTTCACAGTTAGGCAAATCTTTGAACTGAATTTCTTTGCATGAAAAATTGTTCTCTAGATGGTAAAACCAGGCAGGGAAAATCGTCCTCACAGTCGGTCAGTTTACCTGGTGCCTACAGGGTGTAGCCCACAACATTATTAAAGTCCTGCGTTAGACTACATTGTTTCATGCCAAGCTAATGGTGCTGTCAATATTGATACAAATTAAATTTACTATAATTATCTTTTGAAGGTTGTTTGGTTTGCGACTTGGTTGGGAGTGGTATTGCTTGGTATTGACATCGGTCTTGGAGTTGGTGTGGTGATGGCCCTCGTGGTTGTGATTTGGAAGTCATCAAGGTCAGAATAAAATTGTCCTTAATCAGTAGTAAAGCTCCATTGGGTCTGTCATTGGACCTTACCCATTTGAAAGACCTTTGTGTGTGTGTGTGTGGGGTGGGTGCTTGAAAAATGAAAGATTGAATGGTTATTTTGGACAGGGATAAATTTCTTTACTCAGATTTAGATAACAGGTGAGTCTGTGACTCAACATTGGTCCAAGTAAGCTCTGAGTTCAATCATGTTGGAAAGTGTTTTAATTAATCATTTTCATTTCATGTTTATATCGAAAAATTAAAATTTTAAACATTTCAGACCACCAGCAGAACTTCTTGGTCAAATTCCCAATACAGGGATTTATAGAGACCTTCAAAGGATACCCTCAGTAAGTGACTGTGACTCAAGATGCTCTTGTTTTAGTTCAAGGCAGGCACTCAAATATACAGTACTAGAACTCATAATATTATGGGGGCAGAGTGTGGACGATTTTCCGTTGGAATAGTGTTGAATTTTCAGTTTAGTTTTTGTTTTTGGGTAAGATGGAGAGGTGTGATAAGGATAATTTTTGTCTCTGGTGGAGTTCTGGCAGCCCGAAGGGCCACTAAGCAGGGTACCATAACAGTTTCTACATAAGAACAGAACCACATGCATGCATAGAAATAGAAACCATGCATGCAGCTCTTTTTTCATGGTCAACATGGCCAGCAGCTCGTATCGTGAGTGCATGCGCTCTACGATGGCGACGTCGCGCAACATGGCAGCCATACTCCTGCTGTTACCAAGTCATGCAGCATTAGTTTGCAGTGTACATCTTTGATATTGGATGTCCATGTTATGGTCAATTGACACCTGTCAAAATAATGTATCCGTTGACCATATTATGGGCCCAGGTTAAGAGCTTATCAAGGTTACATGGATTTTTTAAAAATCACCGCTGACCAATTTATTGTGAACAGGAGCTCTGCTTCTAGGCTGGGCTAAATCTATATATTAGGGTATGATGAGTCAAATTCTACATTGACATATTTTATGATGTTAAATGTGGTCCTTTTCTTCAGGGGGCGATAAGTAATTTGCAAAAATATAGTACATGTATGTTTATGTGAATTTGTTAAAACATGGTTCAATGACCTTAGTAGCAATCTCTTGGCATGTAGCCATCTCTAGCCATATATTAATTTACATGCTAAATATTTACATGCATGTACACGTTTCTTTCAGGCAAAACCAATTCCTGGAGTGAAGATTTTTCGATTTCAGTCTGCCATGTTTTATGCCAACGCAGAATACTTCCGCCGCACTTTGATAGAAATGACCGGGGTTGATCCACAAAATCCAAACAAGCACAGCAGTAGTATTGGTGATTCAGTTTATTACCACAGCAGTGGTAACATGGAGGATACTGGGAGCACTACAATAAAATTTCCAAGAAGTGCCTATGTCCAGGTCAACAGATCTATGGAGAATGGGGTAACTATCGAGGGGCACTTTGTTAGAAGAATTTGCATGTACAGTAGACAACTTAGAATAATAAATTGTAATTGGACAATTTTTGTTTTTCAAGTCATTCAGGATAAGAGGTACACATGTATAGTTACATTAATTGAAAGTGTATTTTTTTTCTCCATGAACATGTCCTTCAGGATGTAGAGGTTTCCTTAAGTGATCTTGGAAACTCTGATGGTGCATCTGGGGAGCAGGATTCTGTGCCTGTTCATGCCATCATTGTTGATGCCAGTACATTTAACTTTATTGATACTCAAGGTGTGAACACCTTATTGCAGGTGAGCCATGAAAACTAGCAAAAAATTTTGTTTTCTCTGAGTACTAGATATTCAACAGGCTTTTTAAAATATTTTGTTCAAATCTTTTGTTGCATTATTTGGAATTCATTTTCCTGTCACTGGGCATGACACCAACAGAAAGCCAAGTCTCAGGAATTGTTATTCAACTTTTAAAAGATTTTTAAAGTAATCAATTAACAGTATTTTGATTTCTTGTATAATAGTACTTTGGTCTCATTGTTTGCTCGTTCTATATGTATGCAAATAATTCTTAATCCTACTATTTTGAATTCTGGCATTTATATAATATTGATCTGTTTTTTTTTTTTTTCTGTAGCTTGGTTTAGAATATGAAAAAATTGGAGTAAAATTCTACTTGGCACACTGCCGATGTAAGTGAAAATATTTTCCTCTTGAATATGTGCACTAAAAAATTAGTAATGTGGGTGGCATTTGTGTTGTGTGTTGTTTCTTTTATTTTGCCATCATGGTAGATTCAAGTCCTGTTTTGACCACTAGCTGGTGTTTTTCTTGGTAGTCCCGAGTTCAGCTACTTGGCCATGCTTTTAGTATAGCCAACAGGCCCCAGTTGTTTGAAGGCTGCTATCCACCAGATAAATCACTATACAGTAGATGTGTTAACAAAACAAACTACACTATCCACTGGTTTGTGATTTATCCAGTGGATAGCATTATCCACCTCTCAAGCAACCCGGGCCTGGTCTGCCTCATGCTAGGTAGGACTTTTAACTGTGTTATGTTCATTTACATTGTTTGTTTCATAGTTTGATTCCATAAGGCCCTGAAAAGCCTTATTGGGAGAGTGGCCAATTAAGATATATATTTGTTTATTTATTTAAATTCAGTCTAATGATCCTAACTCCTGTTTAACTCCTGCATAGACTACATACGAGAAATGCTGGAGAAAGCCGGCTTTACAGCAAGAATAGGAACTGAGCATCTATTTGTGTCTGTACATGATGCAGTGACACATGCTGTTGGAATTCACTCTGATGTAAGTTTATTAATGTCTACCAGCATGGCCAGCAGCCATGCAAATTTATTGGAACAAAAGAAAGTGTTTACATAGGAAAAACTAACTCCCACAGGATTAGTTTGGGACACCAACATGGCTGCTGTTTCAATGTTTTGGAACACCAATATGGCTGCCATGACATAATGTGAAAACACTCTTATACATTTTCAAAAGTTGATGATCGTTGCCATTTCCATTCAAGTCTATTTTGATTGTACAAAAACCTTAGTTTTTGAGGGGTGGGGGGAGTGGTGGCAGCAGGGATCTGTGCTAATTAGGGATATCATTCACTAGTTTCAAAGGTTTGCTTTTCTGAAACTTCTTGAGCCCTACTTTTGATTTAATTATGTATGGAACATGTTCCACCTGACATGGTCCCTTCAGAATTTACTTGAGCTTTTCACTTGATGCTTGCAATCATGTAAAAAATAATGTTTGGCAGCAGGTATAATACTGAATTTTATTTTGCTAGAAAGGAAAAGGACTGCCAGGTGCTTCCATAATTATTTTGTCATGTTATACATCAATGATGACAGTTTATTCTTTTTGCATGTCTTTTCCTAGAATGCATCTCATTCTTCTCCTATGATGAGTGATACTGAATCAGCAGCTAACATGACATTAGAGGCTGGAACCTCTAACGCACAGGTTTGTAAAACTGGTTCTAATTACCATGGAACAAAGCTCATGTTAACTAGTAACAGTACATCATGTAACCACATTATAGATGGGAAAGATTGTTACCGATCATATTAGTTATTAAGTTGTCCAATCTCCTTTATAACTTGTGATATTGCAAGTGATCAAGTGTCTTGTTGATCTCACTGGATTTTGCCATCATTATGTTTTCATTGAGCTTCATCTGAAGTTACACTCTTTGTTATTACTGGTTAAAATAAAGATACTATGAGAGACCAACATACTGTAATCTGTTTACTGCTTGCTTTTAATTCATTTGTTTTTGTTTTCTTTAGATGGAGGACTAGAACCCACATAAAGAATATTTGAGACGAGATACAGAATAAATGTTCTGCATCTAAATATGAACACCTGTGTATAAGACAATGTCCAGCTTTGTATTTGTGATGGAATTGCAATATAGCACAATAATTCAAAAGCTCTACTGGTTATTAGTATTAGTATTGGTTATTAGTATTAGTTAGTATTATTATATGGCTGTGTCTCACAAGGACTGGGAACTACCAAATTCACGAATTTGATTGGCTGAAATCGATATTGACCGCGGTCTAGATTTTCCCATCTAGACCGGCATGTAGACTGGTTTCATTTTGCATTGACAAAGTAGCAAACTAAAATACAAAAATATTCACCATTTTCTTTTATTTTCTTCTCAATCATTTATGGAAGTGCCAAAAAGCCTGATGACAAAAAAAAAAGTAAAGAGGACGAGCAAATTTTGGCAGGTTTAAGTTAAGCTCATCACCGTTCACAAGCAAAATGTCAGCAAACCAGTTGCACTAAAAGAATTAAAGTTTTCTTCTTTGCCATATAATAAACATCTTATTAACCGAGCTAAGTCGGTCTGTATGGGAGAATCTTGACCTCGGTCGTGTGTACAGACCTCACTGCATTCGGTCTGTACTCATGACCTCGGTCAAGATTCTCCCGTACAGACCTCCTGCTGGGTTAATAAGAGCTAAGTATTACAGTGTGAGTACTTTGTTCACAATGGGACTGACAGGACCTGGGGTCATCTAGAAATGGCTGCAATTTTTAAATCAACAGAGAAATAACTGGGATAGAGGAGAGGAAAAGCAAGTGTAAAGGAGGCATGGGCTTAAGACTTTATTTTTAGGACACTTTGAACAATTTATTATGCTAACTCATAGTACAGCATTTTGGATAGCAACTGGCCTGGTAGTTATGAAAAAGAGGGGAAAAATCTTCTAAGATTGAAGTTGCAGAACTACCAATCTTAAATTCATTTTTCTGGTATTCATGAGCTATTTTAAATGGTACAATAACATTATTTCATGGGCCAACAAGACTGGTTAAATAGTGTTTTAATAATTGATCTGCCAACACAGTGATGCTTAGTTTTAATAAAGTAGTCACTCATACCAAAATAATTATTGTACAGTAGTTCTGGAATTTCATTTCTAATTGGTAAACTAAAATGATATTTATATAAGCCATATTTTTACTTTAATACAAAAAGAATGCTTTTGAAAGCAACTATGTATTTTTATAATTTCCCAAGTGAAGATAATTATTGTTTGTATAATATTATTAGTGTCTGATTATGATATCATGAGAACAACCTTAGTGATTAAAATAATGGATTTACCAAACAACAGTTTATTGTCAAATGTGCAGATCCTGTTGGGAATGAAAACTATTGTAACATAATTTCTGTGAAGCTACATTTCAGACGTATATGTTAAGTGTATTACTTAATGTGTTGAATTATGCGTGCATTAGGATTGCTTCTTACTTAGGATCTATTGGAGGACGGATATAGATTATTGAAGTCATTAACATTTTTTTGTTTCTTTATTATATAAAACAAGTAGATTCCAAGTTGCTGTAATAGCCTGTGTGCCACTTTTTTGTTCTTACCACATTTTAACATCATCTGTGATCAGTTAGTGAACAGACGTGCAGCAATATGGAATCTATTTGTTAAATGCTATTGTGTCGTATTAATAACAATCAATAACAAAAATAAAATATTGCAAAATATTGTGATTTGTGAGTGTCTTGCAGATTTGTCCCCACTGACAAATCACTATATTTTGCGCAACCTCACCCAGCATGAGGGTCAAATTAACCCAGGGTCAAACCAAATCCGATTCCCGATTCCTATTCCCACACCTGTGTTCACTTAAGCTGATTTGTGAGACTAAAGACTCTAAAACAAGCATTTTTATGATTGTCACTAGACAACTTGGGCTGACTGTACAGCACCATATGAGGGTTGAGGAGCATATACTCCCCCTGATCTTCCTTGTGGTGTTGCGGTGTAAGGGGGAGGTTGTCCACTTGCTGCCAATGTATTATCAATCTTTGGTGGACAATTGGTCGTCTGCTGAGGCGGGGGGGGGGTGGTATGGGTAGGCTTGTTGGTAGGAGCGTTGTACTACATATCTGGTATAAATGGTTGCCGTTACTCGCTGGGATGGGTTGGTCTGTGCTACGTGCCTTGTGGTCGTGACAGTGGCTGGGGCAGTTCCTGACTTGAAGTCATTCTCCAGTGAGTTTGTTCATCTCCACCAATAATTACCCTACCGCAAGTACACGTGGCGATCAGGCAGATAAAAAATAATGAGCCAATTATTGAACTAACAATAATGCTTGCAAGTTCGGCGGAACCAAGTGGTTCAGGATTTCTCAAGGTTTCTGGGAAACCACTCGATTCAGAAACAAGACTCAATGGGATACCACTACGATCAAGACTCTTGTTAAAACTGAGACTCATTTCAGTGAGCGAGAACCACGTCTCCTTTCTCAGAAAACGAGACACGTTTAGTAAATTCAATTGACAATTGAAAACACCGACTCGGACTCTGAAAGTACACATGCTGCACTGTGCAAATGAGCTATTTGTACACGTCAGACTTTCCTTCAAAAACTTTTGCAAACTTGCCAAACAAGCAGAAACAAAAAGAAACTACATGTAACAAAAACAGGTTTTGAATATGATTAAGCATTGTTTGAGAAACTCACAAATTAACTCGATACAAGAGTAGAGTTTCCATACATATTTTTACAGTAACTGTCTAATTTCTTGTGTGCTGACTGGCTCATTTTTATCATCAATAAGAGTACAGACAGATAAAATCTTAATTTATGCAAGCTCTCAAGTTCAACTTTCAACTGTCAAACTGTCAACTTTTTAACCAATGAGATTTTATGGACTTTTTTGAGTGGCCAATCAAAAAGCGAGAAAAACTGTTGACAACGTTCACATTTTGAATAAAATTCACTTATCTTTGTTTACAGCAAGTTTACGGCATCTTTTCCCTCATTTTTAATATAAGGAACTTAATCAATGGCGGATCTAGGGGAGGGGCCCGAGGGGCCTGG